AGTCCCGGAAAGAAGATAACATTAGGAGGAAGCTCAGGCTGTCCCTTCCTTACTCAATAGAGTATAAGAGGGAGGAACACAATCAGACTTGTAAGATTCTGTTGGTACAGCAACTTTAATAGGTCTGGACTCCAACTCCCAGAATTCCCTAGCCATGCTAAGGTTGAGAAATACTGATATATCTCAATAAAATTTAATTCACGAAACAGGTTGCATGCAAGACAACCTGTTTCGTAAAAAAGTGAGAATAATTCTAGTATATATATTAAAACATATATTGTGGATATTTATCAAATAATTAAAAACGTATACAGATAGCCCTCTATTTACGACCGCAATTTAGCCCAAAATTTCTTTTGTTAAGCGAGACATTTGTTAAGTGAGTTTTGCCCCATTTTACAAACTTATTTTTCACAGTTGTTAAGTGAATCACTGCAGTTGATAAGTTAGTATCCCAGTTGTTAAGTGAATCTGACTTCCACATTGACTTTGCTGGTCAGAAGGCTGCAAAAGGTGATCGCATGACCTTGGGACACAACAACAACCATAAGTATGAATCAGTTGCCAAGCATCTGAATTTTGATCACATGATCATGGGCATGCTGCAGAAGTTCTAACTGTGAAAAATAAGTCACATTTTTCAGTGCTGTTGTAACTTTGAACAGCCACTAAATAAACTGTCGTAAGTCAAGGACTACCTGTACGTGCATGTGCTATGAATGTGAGGCAACTATACTATAGGGATACGTGATAACAGTATCATGATAATATTTTTTTACCTGCATAATAATAGCTGTGCATTCATCTATAGTCATCACCACATAATGTTCTGTGCCTCCAAAATAGTTTAGGATAATAGTTTATAATAATTAGAATGATTCTAATTAATCTCATATTAGCCCATTTTGTTATCTTCTTACGCTGTTTCTGAATGATAATACCTACAAAGCAGTAAAAACGCTTTCAAGATAATCATTTTTTGCATTAGGTTTCTGTTTCATTGTAGTTTATTGTTGACTTATAGGAAATTATTGCTATAAATGTTCAGTTTCTTCACTCTTTTCGGTGTGCGAATGCTTTTAATAGTTCAAAATATTTTCTACTGATTCAGGTGGACAAATACATGAAAGAAATTCTTGATGATTTAATAAGCAACCTGACTAGCAATATGTGGCGAATTCGAGAGTCAAGGTATGCATTTCTAAAGTCAGCTCATGATTAAATTAAAATAATTGGTGTTTTGAAAATCAAATACTTACATGCATATTTTCTCTATATTGGGTTTTCAGGATTTATTTATCTAATTCTGTAAGTTATGTGAGCTGTACATTTTGGAGCTGGGGGCAGATTTTGTAATATTAGAGTACAAATATTTGGAAGTAAGTCATACAAGTTAGCAGGAAGGCTTAATTATGAAAAATATATTATACATAATTTTTTGTTTGTTTTCTACCATATAATTTAAGTTGATATAAGCTGTACTAAATAATTACATTTCTGGAACTTTTTTTGACATTGATGCAAAGTACCATTAGGGACCTTATATAATACCACCCATAATATTTAATTAAGAGGGGTATTGTACTAAACTATAGCAAATAAGCCCTGTCTTTGCATGCACACTCCTATATAACCTAGCCTTCAGTTCTGCTGTGGGCATGAACAAGGAAATATTTATTATGTTGTAGAACTAAGTGAATTGTGGTTTTTGTTAAATATGGTTTGTTTAAAACAGTTAATTTAAATCATTGATGCTAGTTATAGATGAATACATAATCACATTAAGTGTTTCCTTAGAAATAGAGAACATGTTATAAGCACTAATTGTAAGATTGCAGTTTGTTTAAAAAGGTAGCTTGAAAAGGGAGATTAATTCTACTTTACGAAATTTAGGTGTACAGGCATTACTGTCTCCGAGTTATGTTATTCTTCTACACTTTTAAATATTGTACATGTTTGGGGAAACAGAATTTTTTATTTTATTGAAACTTCATATTATCAAAACATGGTAATTAAACTCTTTCCACAGCTGTTTAGCACTGAATGACTTGCTAAGAGGAAGACCTTTGGATGAGATTATTCATAAACTTCCAGAAATATGGGAAACACTCTTTAGAGTGCAAGATGATATAAAGGTACTAAAAAGTTTCATTTTCTAATATTGGGAAATTACTGTAATCATTGTAGGCAAAGAATAGCTCACAACCAATAAGGCTTGTATGCTTCCTCTGGTGTTATGCTGGGAATTCCCAGAACTCAACGTTCCTGAATGATAAACACACTTTTGTTGTCCATTTTAGATTTCAACCTTTATGGCAAAAATATTTGAGCTTTATACATAAAAGGGAAATACTTAGACTAGAAAATGATATTCAGCCTAGAAATTGGGCTGTATTTTGAAAAGTATTTATAGAACATTAAAGGAGTCAGATGGTTTTGATTTAGATTCTTTCCTTTCTCCTCATTTCTGTAAAGCGGGATTAGCAATCTTATTCTCTGCAAGCTTTATACACACAACCCCTTGATATCAAGGAATGTGAATTTTAAATTATTTTTGTGGGTTTCCAAACAAGCACCTTTGTTTGAAAAAGAGATTTATATTTTCTTGAAAATATACACCATTCAGGCAAAATCACTCCATTAATAGTGTCTGAGATTAAAATTGGAAATTTAAAATTTTTCTTTTCCCCCTTTCTCCTTTTCTTTTTCAGGAATCTGTACGAAAGGCAGCAGAGTTAGCCCTGAAAACGCTAAGTAAGGTATATTCTCATAATCACTCCAATAACTTCAAGAATTTTACATCATTCTGTGACTCAGTTTGAGCCATAGCACAAAGAATATTTTCAGAACATCTGTGCTCATAATGGTTCCCATCTGCCATTTGCATGTTGTTGTTTTTGTTTTGTTTTGTTTTGTTTTAAGGTGTGTGTGAAGATGTGTGACCCATCTAAAGGAGTTGCAGGCCAGAAAATCATAGCCGTACTTTTGCCATGTCTTCTTGATAAAGGAATGATGAATACGGTGACTGAAGTGCGGACCCTGAGGTACCTTATCCTTAAATTTTTTTCCCTGCTCACGTTTCGAAATCTCATATCCAGAAACGATTTCAGCAGGACTTTACCCATCGTTCTTTCTCTTCATCGCTGAAATGAAATAAATGAATCCGAGGAATATATTTTTACAATAAATGATAATTTCTAGATTCCTCTATGATAGCATCCAGTGGTGGATTGCTGCCAGTTCAGGCAGTTCAGGCGAACCGCTAGTTCCGATGACCAACTGGCCCTGCCCATCTGCGCCCGCCCTATCCTGTTCTATATTTCCTTTCTGTCCATTTCCTTTCTGGTTCAGCTGATTCACGCGGCACAGTTGATTTCACACCTCCACTGTTCTACTTACGGGGCTGCCTTAGAAGGTAAGCAGCTGAGCTTCAAATTGCTGTATTTTGAACGCTGCATGCAAGCGTCTTAGGCACACAAGCACACGAGCACTGAACCTCTTGTTGAACTTGTTGCAGCCCACCACTGGTAGTATCCCATGATTTGCTTAGGTGTGCTTTTCTAATTGAATCATAGTTGGCTGGCCTTGCACCACCCACTAAAGTGATTATCATGATTTATGAACCAAGGAAAGTCAATGTAGAAAATATGCTTAATTATATGCATAATATACAACCACCTAAGCTTAGGTGGGAAAATCATCATTGCACCAATTAAAGAGTCCTACAGTTGCTACAACCAGCTGTGGAAAGAGCCAGTCTAACTTGCTATAAGTACAGCCGCTGAAATTAATAGATTGGATGAAGCTGTCTACCTGGATCCGTTTCAGTCGGGTTTCAGGCCCGGATACAGCACGGAGACGGCATTGGTCGCGTTGGTCAATGATCTCTGGCGGGCCCGGGTCAGGGGCTGCTCCTCTGTCCTGGTCCTATTAGACCTCTCAGTGGCTTTCGATACCATCGACCATGGTATCCTACTGCGACGGCTTGGGGGGTTGAGAGTGGGGGGCACCATTTTACGGTGGTTCTCCTCCTTCCTGTCGGATCGGTTGCAGTTTGTGTTGAC